CGCGGGGGGCAACCGGTGGCCTCGGTAGGGCGTGAAGGGCGGACCGAAACGCCCCCCTTCCCATGAGGTTTTAGTCGCCCCCACACTCCCGGCTCATACCTGCTGTCCACAAGGCTCCCATGTGGCCGCCATCTTTCTTTCCAGAGAGGAGAGGGCGAATGGGGCAACACCCTTTCCCCTCCGGCAGACTTGATGTCCTGGATCAATGCAGAGTCTGTTCACTTTTCTGCTCCAAGCTGCTGGGTTCTGCATTAAGTCCTTGTGCTTCTGGGGCCATGGCCGTGCTGGAGAGCCGCTCGCGGGGGGCAACTGGTGACCTCGGTAGGGCGTGAAGGACGGACCAGAACGCCCCCCTTCCCATGAGGTTTTAGTCGCCCCCACACCCCCGGCTCATACCTGCTGTCCACAAGGCTCCCATGTGGCCGCCATCTTTCTTTCCAGAGGGAGGAGGGCGGAAGGGAGCAACACCCTTTCCCCTCTGGGCAGAAATGATTGCCTGGATTAACGCATAGTCCTTTCACTTTTCTGCTCCAAGCTGCTGGGTTCTGCATTAGGTCATTGTGCTTCTGGGGCTGTGGCTGTGCTGGAGAGCCGCTCGTGGGGGCAACTGGTGGCCTCGGTAGGGCGTGAAGGGCGGACCGAAACGCCCCCCTTCCCATGAGGTTTTAGTCGCCCCCACACTCCCGGCTCATACCTGCTGTCCACAAGGCTCCCATGTGGCCGCCATCTTTCTTTCCAGAGAGGAGAGGGCGAATGGGGCAACACCCTTTCCCCTCCGGCAGACTTGATGGCCTGGATCAATGCATAGTCCGTTCACTTTTCTGCTCCAAGCTGCTGGGTTCTGCATTAAGCCCTTGTGCTTCTGGGGCTGTGGCCGTGCTGGAGAGCCGCTCGTGGGGGGCAACTGGTGACCTCGGTAGGGCGTGAAGGACGGACCGGAACGCCCCCCTTCCCATGAGGTTTTAGTCGCCCCCACACTCCCGGCTCATACCTGCTGTCCACAAGGCTCCCATGTGGCCGCCATCTTTCTTTCCAGAGAGGAGAGGGCGAATGGGGCAACACCCTTTCCCCTCCAGCAGACTTGATGGCCTGGATCAATGCATAGTCCGTTCACTTTTCTGCTCCAAGCTGCTGGGTTCTGCATTAAGTCCTTGTGCTTCTGGGGCCGTGGCTGTGCTGGAGAGCCGCTCGTGGGGGGCAACTGGTGACCTCGGTAGGGCGTGAAGGACGGACCAGAACGCCCCCCTTCCCATGAGGTTTTAGTCGCCCCCACACCCCCGGCTCATACCTGCTGTCCACAAGGCCCCCATGTGGCCGCCATCTTTCTTTCCAGAGGGAGGAGGGCGGAAGGGAGCAACACCCTTTCCCCTCTGGGCAGAAATGATTGCCTGGATTAACGCATAGTCCTTTCACTTTTCTGCTCCAAGCTGCTGGGTTCTGCATTAAGCCCTTGTGCTTCTGGGGCTGTGGCCGTGCTGGAGAGCCGTTCGTGGGGGGCAACTGGTGACCTCGGTAGGGCGTGAAGGACGGACCGGAACGCCCCCCTTCCCATGAGGTTTTAGTCGCCCCCACACTCCCGGCTCATACCTGCTGTCCACAAGGCTCCCATGTGGCCGCCATCTTTCTTTCCAGAGAGGAGAGGGCGAATGGGGCAACACCCTTTCCCCTCCGGCAGACTTGATGGGCTGGATCAACGCATAGTCCGTTCACTTTTCTGCTCCAAGCTGCTGGGTTCTGCATTAAGCCCTTGTGCTTCTGGGGCTGCGGCCGTGCTGGAGAGCCGCTCGTGGGGGGCAACTGGTGACCTCGGTAGGGCGTGAAGGACGGACCGGAACGCCCCCCTTCCCATGAGGTTTTAGTCGCCCCCACACCCCCGGCTCATACCCGCTGTCCACAAGGCTCCCATGCGGCCGCCATCCTTCTTTCCAGAGAAGAGAGGGCGAATGGGGCAACACCCTTTCCCCTCTGGGCAGAAATGATGGCCTGGGTTAACTCATCGTCCGTTCACTTTTCCGCTCTAAGCTGCTGGTTTCTGCATTAAGTCCTTGTGTTTCTGGGGCTGTGGCCATGCTCCAAACTTAACTCTGATTTTCAGGGAGAAAGATTGGGTGGTTTACTTCTCATTGATCACTTTGTATATAGAGAGATGTCGCGCGGCCGCTTACGCGGCCGCGCGGTTTTGAGAAAAAGTCCTCATTCCCGCATACTCGAGCTGTGTTTGTAGAGGCTTCTGGTCACCAGGGTTCCATCTGGGGGAGGCGGGATGCGGCGCCTACTCCATCTGGAACTTGCCGGTGCTCTCGGCTCTTTTTGGAACCTGTTTTTTCTTTTTTCTTTTCCTCCGGGATCCCGCACCCTCCATGTGTTCCTTCTCTTATTCTGAACGTTTCAAAGATGGCGCTGGGGGGCGGGCTGTGGGCGTGACTTCCGGGATCAGAGGTTACCTGGGAGGTGTAGTCCGGCAGATTTGAGAAAAAGTCCTCGTTCCCGCATACTCGAGCTGTGTTTGTAGAGGCTTCTGGTCACCAGGGTTCCATCTGGGGGAGGCGGGATGCGGCGCCTACTCCATCTGGAACTTGCCGGTGCTCTCGGCTCTTTTTGGAACCTGTTTTTTCTTTTTTTCTTTTCCTCCGGGATCCCGCACCCTCCATGTGTTCCTTCTCTTATTCTGAACGTTTCAAAGATGGCCAAAATTTTATTATTTTTTAAACATTGAATCACAGTGAGATTCACAAAGCTTTCATAGTCACAAAGCTTTCATGATTGGGTTTCAGTCACACAATATTCCAATACCCTACCCATCCCTCTACACCTATGTGAGGTCTGTCTCTGTCTCTGTTTCTGTCTCTCTCTGTCTCCACACCTCACCCCTCCAATTCCCCCTCACCTTTTAGGCATTATGGTTTATAAGACAGATACTGAGAGGCTATAATGTTTGGTCCTTTACTACTTTTGGCACGCATCTTCCATCCAGAGCAATTCCTTCCAATCATCATAGTCACAGTGCTCCCTTCTCTATCCCAACTGCCTTCCCCAATACTTGAGGCAGGCTTCCAAATGTGGATCAATCCTCCTGGCCCTTGTTTCTGTTATGACCCTTGGGTGTTAGTCTCATACTACGTTTTTTAATATCCCACAAATGAGTGCAGTCATCAACACCTGACCCTCTTCCTCTGACTCATTTCATTCTGCATGATATTCTCTGTGTCCATCCATTTATAAGCAAATTCCATTACTTCGTTTTTTTTCTAACAGCTGCATAGTATTTCACTGTGTAGATGTACCACTATTTCTTTAACCAGTTGTCTGTTCTCCGGCACTTAGGTTAAGTAAGAATACATTTTTAGAATCATACAACCTTCTGGAACTGAACAGGAAAGAAAGAGAAAATGAGAACAGACCAGCTACGCTGGATGAAGTCAAAATGTAATAAAATATCACCCCAAATACAACATCCCAGGTCGAAAGGGGTTTTCTCTAGTGAATTTTACAAAACCTTCAGAGAGGACCTTTTTTTCTCAAGCTCTTACACAAAATCAAAGAAATGGACTTTCTTCCTAAGAACTTCCTTAATACAATAAGCAGACAAAAATCTCACTAAAAAAGAAAGCAGTCGACCAATACCTGGATGAATATAGATGTAGTGATTCCAATCACATCAACGGAAAGTAAACAAAACTCAGATTCCCCAGGACAGGGGAAATGGCTCAAAGGACTGGGGTGCATGCTTTGCAAGTGGGAGACTCAGGCTCAGTCAACAACACCAATGGTCCCCTGAGCATTTTCAGGAGCAATCCCCAAGAACCACACCAGGAATTGCCTCAAGCATGAGAGGTGTTCCAAGAACAAATAAAAATGACATGATCATATCTGTAGTTGTAGAGAGAGCTTATGATGAGATTCAACACCCGTTTATGACCAAAGGAAAATAAAACTCTCAAAAAAAAAGGAAAAAGAAGAAAAAAACCCTCTCAATGGGGGCTAGAATAATAGTACAGTAGGGTATTTGCCTTCCATGCTGCCAGTTCAGGTTCAATCCTGGCACTACATGTCGGCCCCTGAGCATCACCAGGATTTAACTCTGAACATAGAGCCAGAAGCAAGCCCTGCTCATCACTAGGTGCAGGCCAAAAACAATTTAAAAACAACAGCAACAACAACAACAAATAAAAACCCCACTACTCTCAAAAAAAGTAGGTATAAGAGAACTTAGTTAAATATAGTAAAGGCTATATATAACAATACTTACAGACAACACCATACATAATTAATTGCTAAAGAACTGAAGCCCTTTTCATTAAGATCAGCCTGAAGGTCTCTTTTCATCACTATTATTCAACACAGTATTGGAGCTCTGGTCACATTTATTATGCAGAAAAATTAAAGAGAATCAAATAGAAAAGATGTTAAACTACCAATTACTGCAAACTCTAATGTCATTAGTATCTCCCAGATTCACAGATTCATCTCTTCAATTTAAGACTTATCTATCCAGTCTTCCCTTTTCCCCTGAATTTCTTTTCCTGAGCACGTAGAAACTCTGAACAAGAGTGTGCTGGAACAGTCTAAGGCATCATCTTACCTGCTTCTGCTGTCCATGGACCAATATCCCTTGTTGCCTGATGTCCAATGTCCAAAAAACTCCCACTCTACAGATTTTGTCCATTTTTGTGATTATTAGGTGCTCGCACAAAACCATTCCCTATTACCATGGTAGCCAGAATCAGTAGTTCCTCTAGTTTGGTTATTTTTTTTTTTAGTTGGGGGAGGACTTAGGAAGAGGAGATCACATGAGGTGGTGTTCTGGGCTATTCATGGTACAGTGCCCCAGAGACACTCCTAGCAGTGCTCATGAGACCATGTGGTACCAGTAACCAAACCCAGGGTTCCCCCATGAAAAGCATGCACTCCAGCCCTCTGAGTCATCTCTCTACTCCTGAAGTGTTTTAAAATTGAATATGATAGGATTTAAAGGCATTACAGGATGAAAATAACCTTACCTTATTAACGTGTCATCATCCACAATGACTAACCATGGAATTTTGTCATGGCTATAATTCAAAAACCTTTCCAAAATGGCAAATGTCTTTCCACAATGACCTAAGAAAGGCAAGGAAAAAAAAAAACCCCTTACAATGTGTTATTTTCTTTAAAATACATAGTTCATTTTTAAACATTTTATTTAAATTCGAAGTGCTATAAGTAAAAGTCCTAAATGTTGAAAATACCCTTTTAATTTGAAAAATTTTAATTAACCTTTTCTAAAAAGTGCTGGAGCAATAGGACAGCGGGTAGGGCAGTTGCCTCGCATGTAGCCAACCTAGTCGACCCAAGTTCTATTACTCCACCCCTCTCAGAGAGCCCAGCAAGCTACCAAGGCAAGCTACCCGTGATGTGTTCAATATGCCAAACACAGTAACAACAAAGTCTCACAATGGAGATGTTACTGGGCCCATTCGAACAAATTTATGAACAATGGTAGGACAGTGCTACAGTGAATTTCATAATGAACCAGTAAGAAATTTAAGATATCATAAAAAACAAATGACTCACTTCACACAGGAGGAAATGGAGACTTCAAAATGAAAGGAATTACACAAGGTCAGACAGTTAACGTGAAAGAAATTCTACATAATAACATTTTAAGTCCCAAAGAAATTACAGAAAGATGACATAATTTCTTAAAGATATTCATTCTGAAGAAACTGTTAGAATTTCAAGCACTGCAATCATATAGAAGCAAAGGTGCAAAAAATAGATTACACTTTCATTCAATGATTTCATAAATGTTTGCTAGTAAGCTTCTGATATGCTAGATCCTGTGGCAGGTTTTAGAATTTACACTAGAGACACAACGTTAAATAAAGATGGAGTTAGAGTCTTTGGATGCCAACAGATAAATGACTATATTTCAATAGAAAATGCTGGGTGTTAGAAGAAAAAAAATGTTTGGAAGGAGAAATGTAGTGAAATATGCTCATTTCATATTTGATGACATAATTATACTAAACATTAATCATTACTGCTGGTCAATTTGATATTTATTTTCTCTATATTCCTCATCTTTTTATTTATTTTTAACCATTATGGTATGGAGTTTTAAAAGGCATCTCAAAGTCCTCTTGGAATTAGTTAGAAGACAAATATGAGCAATAATTAGATCACACTGAAAACAAAAAAAAATCAAATTAAGAAGTACATGCATAAATGATTCTTAAAGTCAACCTAAGTTGAAATCTATAAAGAACAACTTTTAAAAAATCAGTCTGTGACCTTTCTTTCCCGAAACAGACAGTAACAGACTCAGTAAAATACTTAAAAATACTTCATCTTATCAAAAATATTGGTAATTATAGAAATAGCATACATGATTCTATCCTGTAAGGTATTTATTCTACACTGTCATTCACTGTAAGATGAATGACACCATCCCAAATTAATCAAAATGGTACTTGCTACGAAAAGATAATCATCTTATTGCTTTTACTTTTCTATTTCCAAAAGGATTTGGAGAACCAGAAAACTAAAGAAAATACATGGTGGGAAGAGAGGATCAAAATTAAGATGAAAAGGGACCTGGTATGTGGCTCAGCATTAGAGTTACTTGTCTTACAGTCTGGCAGGTATCAGGCCTTGGGTCAAGCCTCAGCACCACAAATACCAGTGATAATAATAATAATTATAATATTATGAAGGTTGGGAGGGAAGGAAATATTATGAGTCTGAGGTTGGGAGGGAAGGAAAGAAAAATACATAAGGCAAGATCATACTATAATAAAGTAAGTAAGTAAAGGCCCTCCCGTTGTTCATCGATTTGCTCGAGGGGGCCCAGTAACATCTCCATTGGAGACTTTGTTGTTACTGTGTCTGGCATATCGAATACGTCACGGGGAGCTTGCCAGGCTCTGCCATGTGGGCGAGATACTCTCAGTAGCTTGCCGGTCTCTCCGAGAGGGGCGGAGGAATCGAACTCGGGTCAGCCATGTCGGCTGCGTGCAAGGCAAACGCCCTACCGCTGTGCTATGTCAACTTTCTAGATTAACAGGACATTTTGAATCAGAGAAGTGGTAAGAATTCAGAACTCACCTCTCTCTGTGTTAGGAACTCCCAAGTCTACCGTCGGAATGGAACTTTCTGCGTAATCACTATAGTACTCAATGAGTCTAGCCTGATGTTCCCAAGTCTGCTTCACGATGGGGACTGAAACAAACAGAGAGGAAATATAACTGGTACAGCTATGAAGTAAGCTTGAAATCTCAAAAGGGCAGCAAAATGACCTAAAGATGGAAAACACCATGACTTTTGATTATCCAAATGTTTCTAGACTCAGAGCTTGCTTTTCTACCCTGAGAAATGCAGGGGTGGGTTACAGATGGCAGCACATGAACTAACCCTCGATTTTAATATACATAATATACCACAGAGCCAGGCACTTCTTCCTGGTGAAGATACATTTACTTTCATATAATGGTTCTATTTCTAGTCCGATTACACTGCTGTGCTTAATTTTAACTGATTTTTCTCTTTCCCCAATCTCACTTAAAAGTCACAAGTGGGGTTTTTAGGTGCCTTTTAGGGAAGTGGGAAAGTTCGATGTTTTAACATTGCTAGATTCTTAATAGAATTCACTCTATAACTTTGCATACAATAAGCAGGAGACTTCTAAGGATGAGAACAGTCTTTGTGGTTCTGGCCAAGATGTAAACTTGTTTTGTGCACAAGGAGTGATCATGAAAGAGAGATTCAATAAAACTCCCCATTCCCTCCCTCCCCCAACACACACACACACACACACACACACACACACACACACACACACAACACTCAATGATTCCAACAGGCCCACCTGTATGAAAAGAGCATCATCCTGCAACTGAGAACATGATAACATATTGTGTTGCACTTTTGAAAAATGTACCAAAAATATCATTCAGAATCCAATTTGAGACTCTTAACAGATGAACTGTCTTAACTCAACGAACACAAACACAAAAACTTTCCTGGTTTTCTGTATTGTAGGCAGGAATGCTCAAAGGTCTCCGCAGCCTGACACAAAGAATTCCGCCCTGATCACGATTTAATTTCAACTTGCTTAATCAACTTGCAGAGTAATTATTTTCTTCTACACTTAAATTTAAGGTCACTGTCTGCATATTAAGAACAGTGGGTTTCTGCTATTAGAAAAGATCACCATTTGTAGATTTTATACTTTGTAAACGTAAGACTAAATCTGACGAATCACATCTTCAAGTTGGTATATTGATATTTTATTACATTATTTATCTTTTCCTTTTCCCCAACTCATATCAAAATAAATTATATGCAAGAACTGTCAATGAAGTAGCAAAATTAAGCATTTAGCAATGCAACTCAAGTAGAGTCAAACTCAGACAGGTCATAGGTTTAAAGTATAAAAAGCACCATTCCAAAGTACTTATCTACTTGCTTTTAAGAAAGAAAAAAATCTCAAGAATTCTGGACATTTATTGTAATTGTCTCCAAATTACATACCTTAGTTTATTAAATAACGTGTTGAGACATTAAAATATAATATTCTACAACCATAGAAAGATAAAGTTATAAGGACTGCTTTTAGGCAAAATAGACAAAAATGCATTAAGTAATAGACTAGGTTGCTAGGGGGTGAGTGAAGACAAAAGAACAGAAAAAAAATTCTTGCTCTGTTCTGCTTCCAAATTCCAGCACAACAGAAGTCTTAACCTTGGCACCACAGTGGCAAATTGCTTTGCATATAATAAGCAGGAGAACTTATCCCAGAAAGGGCTCCCTGCAGCATGAAGCTGCTAAATAAATGCTCAGTCTCTTGGGTAAACTGTATTCCACTGCATAAATCTGGGAAAAGCTGTGAGCAAGGTCAGGTATTTTCCTCAGTCCCCAGGACTCAGTTCTGCAAGCTGCAAACTGCACTTGTGTTTTGTGCAGTCTTTAGATTTCTGTTTGTTCTCAAAGCTTTATTAAACAACACAGATGTTTCTCTTCAATTTGCTACTTTAAAGGAAATTAAAATCAAGTATGAGTTAGCTCTTACCTATCCCTAACTCCATGCTTCAAATTTTAGTGTGAAGCCACTGAATCAGAACTTTCACTAAAGATAAAGTTACGGATGATTTGTTGGTGGCCAATGCCTCACACAGAGCCTGGCTTGTGGGTCAATGAATAATTGAATGAGAACTGAATTTTGCAGGAACCCCAACAAAAGGCCCGCAGCTACTTTCACAACTAGCTTTAGAGATGGTTTCATGTGTAATGGCAATTCATCCTTTGATACAAAACTACTACCATCATCACCAATCACTTTAAAATAGAATCATTTTACTGTAGAAAGATATTATGATTCTATAATACCAAAGGCATTCAAGACTTTCTATCATCTGTTCCCTTATCTGTTCCTGTGCATTTGTTGGCTCTCTCAGCTGCACAAAAACCTAAAGGCTAAGGATTCTACACAATATCTGGTGAAGGCTTTATTTTCAATTGAGGTTGATTCTAAATCGCTTAAAATTTTAAAAGCACTGTTCAATGTTTTAACACTGCTAGATTCTTAATAGAATTCACTCTATAATTTATTGGAATAGTTTATATTGGGCTGGAGCGATAGCACAGCAGTAAAGCATCTGCCTTGCATGTGGCCAACCTGGTCGACCCGGGTTCGATTCCTCTGCCTTCTCGGAGAGCCTGGCAAGCTACCAAGAGTATCTCGTCCACTTCACGCCCTACCGAGGTCACCAGTTGCCCCCCACGAGCGGCTCTCCAGCACAGCCACGGCCCCAGAAGCACAAGGACTTAATGCAGAACCCAGCAGCTTGGAGCAGAAAAGTGAACGGACTATGCATTGACCCAGGCCATCAAGTCTGCCGGAGGGGAAAGGGTGTTGCCCCATTCACCCTCTCCTCTCTGGAAAGAAAGATGGCGGCCACATGGGAGCCTTGTGGACAGCAGGTATGAGCCGGGGGAGTGGGGGCGACTAAAACCTCATGGGTCGGGGGGCGTTCCGGTCCGTCCTTCACGCCCTACCGAGGTCACAAGTCGCCCCCCGCGAGCGGCTCTCCAGCACGGCCATGGCCCCAGAAGCACAAGGACTTAATGCAGAACCCAGCAGCTTGGAGCAGAAAAGTGAACGGACTATGCGTTGATCCAGCCCATCAAGTCTGCCGGAGGGGAAAGGGTGTTGCCCCATTCGCCCTCTCCTCTCTGGAAAGAAAGATGGCGGCCACATGGGAGCCTTGTGGACAGCAGGTATGAGCCGGGAGTGTGGGGGCGACTAAAACCTCATGGGAAGGGGGGCGTTTCGCTCCGCCCTTCACGCCCTACCGAGGCCACCAGTTGCCCCCAACGAGCGGCTCTCCAGCACGGCCACGACTCCAGAACACAGAAACCAATTTCTTAACTATCTGACTTTCAGTAGAAATACTTCCAGGGTCAATAGGTAAAAGAGCAGAAATCCAAAACCAACATTTAATTCTTGAACCCAGCTGTAGAAAGCAAATCACTTCACAATGCTTTTTCAGCATGTCTGATTTGGGGGGGGGGGGGGGGGGTAAACTAAATAATAGTGGTGAGTCTTTTATTGAAACAATCTAATCAAAGCGGATAGAGTGTTAACTAGAATTCATCTGCCTCACAGGGACGGGGAGGGGTGGGGGGTGGGGTTTTATTGGGGTTCTTCATGGGAAAAAATAAGTATTGGTAAAGGGAAATGTGTTTGATATTTGCATGACTGAGACATAAACCTGAAAGCTTTGTAACCTTTCCCACAGTGATTCAATAAATAAAAAATAAATAAATAAATAAATAAATAAAAAAAAAAGAGTATCTCGTCCACATGGCAAAGCCTGGCAAGCTACCCATGATGTATTCGATATGCCAAACACAGTAACAACAAGTCACAATGGTGAAATTACTGGGCTCGCTCGAGTAAATCGATGAACAATGGGAGGACAGTGACAGTGACAGTGACAGTTTATATTGAGGGACTGTATTCCTAAAGATACTGAACTTTGAGAATATATTTTAATATAGCTACATGATCCATTATTTCATTTCTAACAAAGAGAATCATACTTTCTACCACATAATAAAACAGTGAATGCAATATTCAAGAAAATTGGCTGGAAGATTAGTAAAACTAGAGCAAAGTGAACACTGTATTGTTAAAAAACAAACAATAAACTCCACCATACCAAATGACCTGCCTCTTCCACATGGCTTTGCAGCCGCAAAGCAGATGCCTCCCTATGAGGCACTGTGGCACTGGTACTCACATTTCTTTCCCTGGTGAACGTGCCTGCAAAACTCTGATTACAAATGAAAACGGATCTGACACTTGAATGGATAGTGTACCAACACTACCAAACAATCAAAAATGAATGATCCTTCTAATGTTAAGGGATCTGCTCTTTTGAATTGACATATGGACCTTTTCTTTGGTCTCAGTATGCAAATCAAAAGTCATTACATCAGGTTGCTTTTCTCTTCTGCAGCAAGGATTGCAGAGATAGACACCAGCACTGCACTGTAAAGCTTGATTTTAAAAGGGCATTGGGAGGGCTGAAAGACATCCCTGCTGGCTGATTTGAAACCACCTTTCTGAGCAATCAGGAATATCTTCAGCTGTTCAGCTGTCACAGGAGACCTGAACTAATTAATACCCAACTCTTTTCCTCTTCAATAAATGAATCACTTCGGGGCTGGAGTGACAGTACAGCAAGTAGGACGTTTGCCTTGCATGAGGCAGACCTGCGTTCGATTTCCAGCATCCCACATGGTTCCCAAGTACCGCCAGGGGTGATTCCTGAGTGCATGAGCCAGGAGTAGCCCCCATGCATCGCCGGGTATGATCCCCCAAAAAAGCAAAATAAATAAATAAATTGTTAAAAAAATAATTAATTAATCACTTTCTTTATCACAGGGCATGGCCTTCCACTTGTTTTTAATCCCAGTAAACCTGCAAGCCTCTCTAAGCAAAGAGAAGAGGCAAAGAACCACCACAACACACATTTTTATAAATTTGTCCAGATTTGTCTGCTCTAGACAAGATCACTGCAGTAAGCCAACAAGAAAGGGTTCGTGTATTAATTGGAAAGGACTAAAGTGTTTCCTTTTAGGAGCTCAGGGAGCAGTCGAAAGGAACTAAAGGCTGAGCAACAGTCATTTAACTTCCTTAACTAGAGGAAGATGGC